TCCCCATTACCTGTAAAGTGCTTTGAGTGGAGTGTCCAGAAATGCGCTATATAAGTGTAATTATTATTATTATTATTATCTTTGACATTAATAGAAGTAAAACGAATTGGCTAATAGTTTAATGCCTAAATTTGCATTTATATAGTCTTTACAGCTTCCATCCTAAGTTATAGTTGAAATTTCACACTTAAAGTTCAGTTAATGACACCATCAGGCCCTTAATGATTAATTAGTTTTTAGCTGTCCTACTCTGTGTAATACCTCACTATCAGTTATGTTGAATTTCTTAAATAATGGAGCATTAGCAAAGTAGCTATTAATAGCTAAATAGGGTATTTTATTTTTAATGCTTTGTTTTCAGCAGAAAAATATAGCAAGTTATTTAAGTTGCACTGATTCATATAAATGTATCCTGTTGTACCGTACATATGTCACTTTGGTTGCTTCAAAAACTTGTTTTTTACATGCATTCACATCACTTTAAAAAAACGCTTATCTGATTCAGGCAGAATAGACCCTGGATGTTACACCAATTATTCTTTACCACCCATCCATTTTCTAAACCTCTTCATCCAGTATAGGGTTGGGGGGGGTGGGACAGAGCCTAACCCAGCAATCAATAGGTGCTAGGCAGTATACATCCTGGACAGGACACCAGTCTATCATAGAGCAAACACTTGCACCAGGTCCAGTTTTACAGAAGCCCATTTCTGCTAGTATGTCTTTGAACTGTGAGAGGAAACTGGAGGATTCAGAGGAAACCCACATACCCTGGGAGAACCTATCCCCCCAAACAGTATCCCAGGAATGGAACCCAGGGCCCCAGCACTGCAAGGCAGCAATCCTAACCATTGTGCCATCATGCTATATACTGTGGAAATAACTAAACATTGACAGTTTTAAACGGAGACAAATAAGCCTGCATATGAGGTGTGAGGTTATTGTAGATCCTGTACATGCAGCCAACTCACTATGTTATTTCACCTGATCTGTGCCCAACAGCGCCAGCTGCTGTCTGCATCCACACGGGCTTTATGTGATTTCGCTTCACTGCAGTCTTACTGTGACTTCTCTGTAACTACTCGACTCAACTTTCCTCTCAGAATACTGTGACTCTGAGGGAAGTATAATTGAATTTATATACAATATTAAAACAAATGACAATGCAAACTAAAATATGAATCTAAACTAGAGAATCAAACTTTATAATCAAATTGAAAAATAGGAATAATATGAATTGAAACAAATAAAATAATAATTTAATAAAAAATACAAATAAACTACTGATTAATACATTATGTGCATGCTGAGATTTTATGCCTATGAAATATTGGTTCATTTAATTCTAATTTGAAGACAGATTTTTTAAAAATATGTAAATGATAGCAGTTATAAAGTTATCAATTGAAACAGTGGTAGTACCACATTAACCAAAGTTACCAATAAGTAAGTAAAAACATTTTCCAGTTCTAGAATTATTATTAGTTTGAATAGTAGTAAAGCTGGTGCCATCAATAGAACATCAGTTAGTAATATTTTCTCTACTCTTTCATTATTAGTGATTGCTTCATTAAGAACTCCAAGAAATTAAAACATAACAATTATTGTTTTTATGTTACAAAAACATTTTGGAATGTTTTGTAATTTTCTATGCTTCACAGAGGAAAAACAAAATCTGACTTTTCAAACATTTTGTGTTGGCTTTATAACCTATCTGTGATTTCACTAGGTTTCAAAACACAACACTCTCAAAATGTAAATGAATAACCGTATTAAGGCAAGAATCCAAACAGTTTAAAAAGCTTTTCTTTTTCTCTGCTGGGGGTTGGTATTCTAACCCCAAAAAGTGGATTAAATGCCTTGGCATCGCTTTTTATGTAGATCTAGAGCAGACAACTCCATCATAGAGTGATGTTTTAAATAAGTCTTAAAAACAATATTTTCAACCACAGTGATGCTTAATATCAGTAATGTGATATTTTTCATCAGGTTTGTTAATGTACTGCATTACATAAAATATTTTTGTTAACTATTGTAGAATTCACATAAAGTGAAATTCACTTTACAAGTAGAAAGGTGCAAACATTTTTTCACTTTAATATCTGAATTGTAAACAATCAAAATTTAAATCTGAAGCCTGGATTAAAAAAAAATCAATTCTAATGACCACAAGAAAATTTAGGATGATTACGCTCCATTGAATTACCTAGATCAATAGCTGTTGTGCATTTATGCCTTTCTGGACAAGTCTATTATTGCATATTATCAGGAAAGGATATATTGTATTTCTGTCTATTCAATTATTCAACAATGTCTTCTGTATTTAAGCACAATTTTATGTAAGTTGTTTATAATAAGATTATATTTATATATGATAATTCTAATAATAATAATGCTACATAAAGATGATAACAATTTCAATGATCATTTATCATTGAAAACAATGTTTTAATTAAAATGTATGTTTTTTTTTTAATCTGGAGTGTTTTTTTATTATACAGTATTTGTATTGTATTGGCACCATGTTTTTTATAAGCAAATTGCTAATACTGCTTTGATTTTGCTGAATATAAAATTGTAATATGTGACTGGAAAGGATTTTAAATATTAAGGGAATAAAGTATTCTTAAAACTGCAAAACAAAGTGACAAGAATGTCTCGCTTTTTCTAAGGGTGGCCCTTGTGGAGTACTGGCATCTGTCCAGGCCTGTGTCTTGCAAAAGCTTCTGTTTGAGGACACAAGCACTAGCTCTGGAACCAAGTGAGTCCCTGCTTTACCAAAACATTACTGAACCTTCTCACACCCTGATCAACACAATAGTAAGAAGCCTTTCTAAGTCTTGTATTGTAGGACTCTGACACTTATACTAAAAGAATTGTCTATTGATTTATTCTCCTTCATTGAGCCAGGGTTCTAGGGGTATTGGAAGGCAGACATTGTCAATTCACAATGACATGGAAAGACTAGCTTTTTATCAGACCTGGTCCATTTTGATCAAATGGAATTCAGAATGAATTTATTTATTTATTTAATCTTTAAATAAGGCCAAATTTGCTTTGCTCTTTGTGTTATGTGATGGAAAAAGACTGAAGTCACAGGGAATTTAAATAAGCTTTTTGTTACTTTGTATTGTGTGGGGTCTTTTAAAGTGAAACATTAGATATTTGCTAAAGATATTTGATTTGATAAATCAAGTAGACTATTAAATTGCTATTTGAAACTATATTTAACTTTTTTTTTCAACTTTGAAAAATTGTTGCATGGTAAAGTTTCAAAATCAAGAGTTTTGGTAATAGTTGTTCATGGTATTCAAGTTTCTGTAAATAACCGATTCCACCTTTTATAACAAGGACGGAATTTGGTTCATGTGCAGTATATTTTTTTGTTTTATTTAGTATAAGTTTCAGTCTGTGAATTTAAATATAAATGTAAAATTCTGTATTCTGTAATACTCTTTGAAGCACGCCGCAACTTAACAATCATGAGGAAAATTCTAATTTCTTTAGATATTTCTTGTGTTGTGATATAGACACATGACTGTTACTTATTAAAATAAATGTTATTTATTTCCGTATCTTTGATTTAAAATATGTACGATATCATTATAGGTAATGCTGGCTTTACGTGTTATGATATCCTACTATTAATCACAAAGCTAGAAGAGCAAACTACAACCGAAAGCAAATTATGAAATAAAATCAAATTGTCACTGAAATAACATTTTAATTGTTTTATCGGAATAAAGGATATGTTTATAACCCATTTTCTAGTATAATTTGTACTTTTCAGAATGTTAGAGCATTTGTTTGTCACCTGATGGTTGTTACTATGTGTTTATAAAGGTAAAATGAATACTGATTTAATGTGCCTTGATTTCAGTCTGTTAAGACGTGAAATGTTTTACTTCAGAGAGGCTTTGTACTTTCTATAGGTACTGTAAATGGGCACATATGATGTGATTAGCTGTTGACCTTTTAACCTTGAATGTCTAGCCTATTGAAAATCAGGAATGAAAAAGGAACCAATATATCCTGCCTCTCAATTGAACAGCTACTCATTGTGTCACTAAACTGGAGACTGAACTAAGGCACTTCAGATCAATTCACCATCAGTCCTCTTTAGTGATAAATTATAATGTGGTGTAGACTGATTTGCAGATTTACACTTACAGAAATTGCAGATTACACAACAGAAATAGAAATCATCTATTTAGAGACAGAAATTATCGGCCACGGTCTCACAGAGATTAAACAGCTCTACAAGGACCGCTGCCGTGGTAGAATTCTAGCCCTCACAGAGGATAGTCACCACCTCGGGCATGAGCTCTTCACCCTACTGCCTTCAGGCAAGAGATACAAGAGCATACAGACACTTACCACTAGATTCTTTAATAGCTTCTGCCCACAAGCAGTGTGATTGGCAAACACATTTGGCCATGCTCCTCAGACCACACCCACACCATCTACCTCATTCTAATTTCTTATTTATTGCATTGTTTACATTCAAACTGTTTACTTGTTTACTTGTACATTGTCTACTTTTTATTTCTATAGTGTCTTGATGCACTGTCTGCACTTTTTTTTTTAACAATTGAGAGACTTTCTGTAAGTAAGAATTCCATTGTACTAGTACATGTACCGTTTACATATGGCAATAAAGTTCAAGTTCAAGAAATACAGTGACTTAAATCACATGTGTGGGTGTGATTGCTAGATTGCTTATTTATCAAGCCAGCGATCAGTACTGTATAGCATACATGCCATAAGTAACTAGAATGATCATTATGAGTGATCTGTGTAATTCTAAACTCTGAAGATACTAAGTAAATGCTGGTTACAGCAGGGAGAGTTTTACCTGACTCAGAGTAAAGCTTACAATGTGTGCCACTGATCATGTTAACATGTTTTACAATCAAAGAAGCAAAGATAAATGTTCACTACTTTTACCTCACTTGGGAGAGTTGAATTTGGATTTGTTCAATATAAGGACTGTGCCACTGCTTTGGTCAGAAAGCAGAAGGGGTTTGTAAAGATCATTGAGGATCAAATTGCCCACCTAATAGTATAGTTTCATTGCATTATTAATCAAGAAAAGTATAGAAATGTGATGACTATAATGGCACGGATAGTGAATTTTAATGTTTTTTTTTTCTCTCTTGATGCAAAGGCAGCTTCAAGATCTGCTTGAGGGGGTGGACAGTGCATACAAGGGCATTGAATTTTACATTAGTGTTCATTGGATAGGCTGTGGGAACTATGTTTGTTTTCAAAGAACATCAAAACTACCCCAAATTGCATAGCACATGGGTTGTACATCCAATGTTCCTGACTGATTTCACTGCACCTCTAAATGAATTCACCAATTTTTGGATCTTGAAAGGCATTTTGTGCAAAAATCACGGTTTGTTTCTTAGGAGACCTCCTTAAATTAAAGAGCTATTGAAACATTAGTGTCAATGTTGGCAAGACTGGAATGTACAGTACATGCAAGAATTCACATCACAATTTATCTGTCAATTTTCAACATTTCCAACTGTTTGGCATGGATTCTCTAATCAAATTCTCAAATGAAACCAGACCATCCACGTTGATACTAGCAACATGGATTTGACAGCGTTGAAGAGTGTTTAAGATTTTGAAATGTAATTCACTGAATTACAATGTTCAGACTTACAATCTTTAAAGTTTAGGCATCTATGACACTCATTTGAGGCTACCAAGAGTGATCACAGGGTCTGTATTATTACTTTTTGGGCATTGCAATTTGATGGTTTGAAGTAAAGGTAATTGGCTTTTTAAGTGCTTTCAGCATTTGGATCTACACACCTCTGTAAACAGAGGTATTATATTTCACAAATGAAGTAATTCCTTTGTCCTTCTTGGATTTAGTAATCTATTGAGCATTCATAGACATGTGCAGCTTAAAGTACAAAATACAAACCCAAGACTGGAGAACTAGAGAAGGAAGGGCAAAGATCCCACTGAACAATAATGATCTGCATGTTAATATTAAGCAGCTAAAATGTAGATAGGATTATTATTGAGAATAAAGTATCAATGTCATGCAGATCTGTTAATAGAAGTGAACCAGTTATATTCTAAATAACTATTGGCAAGCCATTTCTGAAAGATTGCAGTGATTAGTTGACAATAAATTATATTCCAGTGATAATATTACTGCATTGCTGTTTCAGAGATAATCTGAATTACTGTTTTTCACTTAAATGAAATTATAGTTGTTTCTGGAGCTTTGAAGTAACTTTATGAAAATTAGTAAGGCAAATCATACTTTGTGGTTATTAGTAGGATTTGTTGCAGGTAATCTACTGAAAAGGGAACTTTTATAGTATTTATGTAATTTTGTTGTAGTTTGACTTGCATTGTTTAATTGTGGTCAGTACAGTAAACACAAGTCAATAAAAGGGACTAAAAATTAGGAAAACCATAATTATTATCAAACAAAATAGTGGTTAAATTTAAAACCACAAGTGTAACTGATTTTAATCTATGACATCTAAAATGACATTAAATATATAAAATGCTATGTTTTCCTGATTGTATAAATAATTCAAATAAAATCTTTTGACATATAGACATATTATGCATTAAATGTCGGTAATTAATTTGAATGCAAAAAGGAATACTATGCTAATACAAACTGTTTTCTGATCAGAAAATTGCAGCCTTCAAAATCTACGAGAACCAAGTGTCTTATTTTAGCTGTTGCTGAAATTTTATGGCGAGCTGGAGAAAAAAAGAGGGCTACTATTGCAATGTAAGTTATATTTTTAATATTAATACTACATCTTTTAAAAAGACTTCCTGCATTTTTAATACAATTCTGCTTTTTGTATCGAAACACTGAATTTATGTTGAGTAAAAAGTATGCATAATATAAATTAATATTCCTACAAGATGTCTAAACACAATCTATTGGTTAAATATCAGTTAGCCTATCTGACTTCATATTTGCTATAAGTTCTTATGTATTTTGTTTTCTCATACATACGGTTACTCATGGTTATTTCATTCTTGTATGTTCTATTTTGTTCTCTTTTTTGTTTTATTTGTTGCTACAGATCTTCAGGCAGAAAACATTTTGTACCTGCTGGAAGATATAAAGCAGATGGAATTTTAGAAACGGTGCTTATTTTGGTTTTAATCTTAAAAAAAAAATATGTTTTGATATCAAGAAAAATACGAATAGATCTTAAATTTACTGAAAAACAGTGTTGTGCAAGTAACATATGTAATGCATTTGTAATCTGACTAAAATAAAGTCATTTTCCAAGCTTCACAAGAAGAAGTATAAGTTGTGTGGAACAGCTCAGTATTGCAATAAACAAAAAAGTCCTGGGTCATGTACACAATAAAATCATCTAAGAATCTACCTATGTGTATCTGCATTGTAGATATGAGAAGAGTCTAAAATCAGAATCATGTGTTTCAAAACCAGGCTATACAGGTTGGAATTGTTTTTTTTTTATTTCAACACTTAATATGTCGTGTATAGTTTTATTTTATCATGATATAATGATAATCTAAATAAGATGATAAATTGACTTATATGCTTTTCAGATAACACTGAATACTGTGACTAGTCTGGAAGACCTGAAATTGTTTCTGAATGAGAGTATACATCAGGTATTGTACACTACAAAAAAAATGAATATCTTTTTCTAACATGAAAATGATTGTGTTGGAAATGTCTATATACGGATGTAAAAGTGCTCTCTCTTATTGTGTTTAAAGGACATCTCATCTACCATAATGTCTCACATGTTGCACAAATCGCATATGTCCATGAAAAGCAGCTCTTTACACTTATTAATTTTATTTATTACTACTATAAATAGTGATGATAATATTAGTAGTAACCATAGGTTTATTAGTGTCATAATATTCTTGGGTTGATATCAAGTTTGTTTATTTTTCTTGTGATAGTACTCTGCAAGTACTATCAAGTAAAGGTCAAATGGATTTCCTTCCTGAGTGCTAAAACCAGCATTTTCAAAAATAAGCACAATCAGGGGAAATAGTGGATAGAATACTTCCCTCCCAAGACAAATGAGTGATGACCCATGAGCAACCTACAATCGCTTATGTTGGAGAGGGAAACCTAAGCTTTCTGTTTTGTAGATGGACAAGAACTGAGTTCAGTTACAGTAGCAAATGTTTATAAATGTGCTTGTTTTCTCAATAAGTGGCATGTTATGGAGTTCATTCACTTTAACTAAAAAGTAATATTTTTGCTTTGGAATGGACTATGGGGGAGTGCAAGAGGTTAAATTAAATGGTTAAATATAATTTTACACAGTGTCAAAATGGAATGTTATGAGCTAGCAGTCATGCCTGCCATACAGTCTGTGTGCCTGTATGTTACACTGTTATAGCTCTTAACTTGTGTTGTGTTGTAGTTACTTTTTTATTAATTGGTTGTTTTAAATAATATTTAATACAATCTTTTTTTTCTCTTTTTTCAGTTTGAGCTGGGTCCTTCTGGATGTATTTTACTAACCATTTCAGCAATTCTTTCCAGATCCATAGAACTGTAAGTAATTTAAGCTTTATACAATGCTTAACAAGCTTAAGTGTTTAGATATCATGATTAGTGTCATAATAAATCACAATAAGGTGAAGTTTTGTCAGTTACATTATCCTAAAGTGGAACACATACCGATACAAATATGTATTGCACATTCCGAATGCAGTACCACAATATTACTTCTCAAACCTGTTGCAGAATGTATAAGAGTAATTGCTGAAATCTGATGGCATAGGCCTTACCAAACACCCACAAACACCATAAAATGGGATAAACCTTCAAAGACCAAATACCAATGAAAATGACCAGAAGTAATGAGATATCAAAGAACAGGACAAGGACTCAAAGTGTGAAACAGACTTCTTCATGAGCATGTACTATACAGTGGAGTGAAAAGGTAAGTACACTCCATTAAAGGGTCTTTTTAACATTTTTGGACAAAAGGATATTTGATCATCATTTCAACAAAACTGTTAGATAAAGGTGATCGAATTTTTCAAAATAACATTGAAAAATCAAATTTTGCACTCATTTGTACTACTTAAATCAATAGAAATCCAATTTCCTTGTGGGGAAAACGTTAGTACACCCCTACCTTTATCATTGGATCAAATGCCTAAAATTAGAATCAAGTGCACCAAAACAGGTGCAAATGAATAGAACATCATTAGAGAGTAACATGGAGGGCACTGCCTTCTATAAACATCAGAAACGTGTGATCTGGTTTGGTTTTAGCAATTGAGGTATATGGCTACATCATGTCAAGATCAAAAGTTCTCTCTGAGGCCCTCAGAAGAAAGATTGTTGATGCTTATGAGTCTGGGAAAGGGTTTTAAAGCCATTTCCAATTTTTAGTCGATCACTCCACTGTCTGAAAGATCATCTACAAATGGAGAAAATTGCAAACCACTGGCAATCTATCCAGGCCAGGTCGTCTCACCAAATTCAGACCAAGAGCTGACCAGAAGATGCTGCAGGAAGTCTCCAAGAACCCCAGGATAACATCAAGGGATTTATAGGCAAGTCTTGCCTCAGTCAATGTCAAAGTGCATGAGTCAACCATCCGAAAGAGACTGCACAACTTTGCCCTGCATACGAGGTCAGGAAGGATGAAGCCTATGCTCTCAAAAAAGAATATAGATTCACGACTGAAGTTTGCCAGACAACACCTAGGTGAAGATCAGGACTATTGGAACAATGTGCTCTGGACGTATGAGACAAGGATAGAGCTGTTTGACCAGAGAGTACCTGAGGAGAATGTGATGCCATATGTCAAAAACCAGAAGCTGAACCATAAGTGCACATTACAACAATGACCCAAAACACTCAAGCAAATCCACAAAAGAATGTCTCAGAAAGAAATGGAGGGTTATGGAATGGCCAAGTCAATGGGGTGTACTTTTTTTGTCCACAGCAGACAATTGCATTTCTGACTTTCTGACAATTAGTTTTGTTGAATAAATTATTGCAAAGAATAATTTTCATTGTTATTTGTTAAATTAGATCACCTTTATCTATCAATATTGTTGAAATTAAGATCAAATATCCATACATGCAAATATGTACCTTTTCATTGGGTGTACTTACCTTACTTTACTTTTTCACAGCACTCTATACAGTATATGTACATTTTCCTGAGTTGGGAAACCTTTGCAGTGTGTGTCTGCTCTGCAGCACAGACCCAACACTGGGATGATTCACCCTTTCATCAAACTGGGATGATGTGCTTAGTGGATTATCGCAGGGACTAGGACTACTTCTCTACTTAATTTAAGTCAATGACCATGATTCTGGTATAGTTAGTATTACGGCTGGGCGATATGGCCAAAAATTTTCATACCAGTCGATATAGATAATTATCACAATAAATGTCAAATCATTATTTCTTTCAAGTTTAAAGGCAGATGTTTTCTCCTGAGTGAAAGTTGAAGAAACCAGACAGTTAATTGGTAAATTAAACAGCTCTCTATTTTAGGAACACAACAAACACTTGCCAAATAGCAGAAACATTAAACAAATCTGAGGTAGAGAGTATTCAAGTCTTTTTTATGTCAAAATATGCATGAGTAAAATTTACAAAATAAATATCTTAATAAAAAAAATAAATACTGGTGTGTGATAAAACACACATAGAAGATGGTTCAGACAGACTGCAAGTTTAAAGTGCTCTGTTTTATGTTTGATCGTAAAAAGCCAAAATATCTCCAAATTACCGAAGTTGAATGACCTTTTCTGTCGATGATGTCATCATCCTTCGAGCTGGTCGTTGGCAGCATAACATTTGCTTCAGTGTCGCTTATTTCTCCACTCTAACTACAATCCTGTCAGCCACCACCGTGTGGGTAAAGAACACCATGTTAGCTGCCCGGTCTGCAGCACTTTATGCGCAAAGCATAAACATATATATCGAACATTTATGTAGTTGTAGTTTGCTAATCCAGAGACTGCAAGATTATGTTGTGTTAAAAATTTTTACTTCCATATTCCCTCTAAATGTTCCCTCAGAGAGAAAAACAGGGACATGATTTCTCAAATCTCTGAAACACAGACATGTATGAGTGCCTTTTTATAGCTTAGATGTAGCCCTGAACATTATCATTCTAGAATGTTTGACTGCAGATCGCAATTCAACAACTCAGATGTCTCTTTTGCAGACAAAACCCATCTTTACCAGTTTTTGTCAGTTAAATCTGACGTTTGTTAAAGTGAAGTCTGTTGAAACGTGGGTGTACTGTAACTAAAAGCTTAATTGATTTATCTTAAGCCTAGGCTTTAGACACACTTCATACATTCCCAAATACTTAACAAAGGATATAGAACATTTTAGTATTAAAGCAGGTTTTCTGTTATGTACTGTAGCATCTTGTCAAGTTTAATGAGCCCATGGAGTCAGTCTTTGTAGTCTGGTTCATTAAGTGCAAAATACCATAGATTATGGTCAGTTGTACTAATACAAACTTACTTTGCGTTCAATGTCATTTAAAAAAAACTGTCAAGACACAAAATTACAATAATATACCAATTTACTGATATTCTAGGCACATATACAATATGAGTGTGTAGTGTATAACAATAATAGACAATAGTTTAGTGTACAATTTATAATTGTTATTGCATGTATGTCATTGTTTCATAAGGGAACATGTACTCTTGTGTATTATAACAAAAAACTGTTATTTTCCCCCATGTCTTTAAAAAGAATAAATCGGTATCTGTTCTAAAGTGTTTATCATCTTAATATACTCTGTAAAGATTGGTATAACTTAGCTGATTTATGCATCTAAATGTTTAATACCATTTAAATTTTAAAAGGATGTCAAAATGTTTTATAATAACAATCTTAATTTCAGTACACATTATAAGGGATTTTTGTCATGATAAAGATTATATGTTTAATTTCAGTTTTATACTCTATAGAATGTATATATACTCTATAGAGCATTAGAATCACACATATTCAATTTCATTGTGAAGCATGGAATTAATATAGTATATATGTAATTTGTTTCTAATGCTCTTCTGCAAAGACTTTGGAATATATTACTTTTGCTGTAACTTAAATGGAGGAAAGATTACCAGTAGTGAGAAATGCTGGGCAGTGTCAAAGTTTTCCATTTACCCTGGGAGCAAGATTAGTTTTCGTTAATTATCTATCAACCCAGCAGTTGTTTCCGATGTGAAATCCAGGCATATCTTTCAGAATTCCAAAAATACTGGATAATGTGTGGTTTCTATTGTTTCATGCCTGCTTGTGTAGTTCCAATTTCCAGTTATTGTGTTTGTAGCATGTTCCAACATGATGTAATAGCAGGGCCGACACTTATGGGATTGTTAAAAAGTGGAATCTCATGTGTGCCGAGAACTTCCACCAATTTTGATTGATGTGCCATTTCTAGTGAGTTAAATATTCAACAGATGATCATTTTATCATAATTTTATCATATTGTTACAAATGTGGGGTTAAAAAACTTGCGAAAATCAGGATTTGACCGAGGGGTTTAGTCAATAAGTGAAATAATTATTCAGAACCCCCAATTGTAAGTGATTTCTCTAGAATACATGTGAACAGATGGTATAATAAGAAGCATGTGAATTAGTTTTTCTCTGGCATATCTTTGGTAAGAGGAGTAATAATCCAGGCACAAATGGTTAAAAAAAATACTTATTACAATGACACCAGACAAATACTACACTACACACAACAAAACATACAAAACACAAGGCCTAACATTCTGGTCACCCAGAAAATCCCAGACTGCTACTAAGCATTAAACTCTTGATGCCTACAGAGGCCACATAAGAGGTAGGCTACCTTCTAACTAAATACAATCTAACCTGCAGTTAAATCTCTCTCTCTGCACCCCAGATGCCACAAAATATATGCAAGCCTATATCCCTATCCATTAAAATGCACCCTAAGCAGAAAAGACAAGAAAAGAGAATGTCATGCTCTCTTTAGCATGGTTCTAATACTTAGCTCCAGTCAGGTTTGGTTTGGATGATATAAGTGCTCTTATATTGTGTGTTTCTGTACTGATCCTTGACAATCATTAATCTACAACTTGCCTAGGTATACTTAGGTAAACTTTACAATTGAAAACTGAAGGGGCTCCTCAGACCTTAGAAAACATCTGTAAAGCTAGAAGTGTTTGCTCTTCCAAGTGTCACAAACTTTATCTAAAATCTAAGAGACACTTCTCAGTCACCTAAAGCTGTAACACTCTTTTGTTTAATTGTAATAAAGGTGTTAACGTTATTATCTGTATCTAGTAATTTCTCTTCAGCTTCCATTTATTTCAGTGTGTTTTTGCCAGTCTGAAGAGCTGCACATTTCCATTATTTCAATTAACACAGTTCTTTGAGAAGAATGTATTGAAAATGTGTTTTAAAAAAAACCTTTCCGGCTTACCTATTTAATACATTGGCTTTTGGTAGATGAAAAAAAAAATCTATATGATCTTTTCCATTACTGCAATGCTTTATATCAAAGTGCTTCTAACACTTTCATTAAATGGTTACATTTACCTTAAGGATATTTTTGCTTATATTTTAAGACTAGCCAGATCTTTCAAGTATATCTCACAAGTTGTATGCCTTCATTTACCATTGAACCCTAAAATACATTTAAAGATGGTATTGCTGGTTTAAGGACAAGTAAACAATGTTGCATATTACACAAATTAACAACTATCCTCAGACTATTGGTGGACACTTAAAATCTATGAAAGGCTATATACAGTATGTGCTCCTTAAACTGTACTACAAACATTACAGTTGAAGTACAGCTTTTGAGAAGACAATCATCAAGAAATGTTAAAACTACAATCATTCATAATTATTTTTTTAACTAAGTGAACTAATTTAAAAAGATCTCTAACATATCTTTTATTACTGAAAATAATTATTTTCTATTGCTTGAGAGCCACTGTTTTTGTCACCAAGAGAGAACTTGTAGGCCTAGAAAGCCTATAGAAAATCTTCTGCCAAGATTTACAGTAAATATAACATAATTTAATATTGACGACTGTCACTCATTAAAACAGTAGTTACATATGTACCAATAATATTTGTCCATCAAAGTGTACATCAAGCAAACTGAGTTCAGATTTATCAGTACTTCATTAATGTAGTTTTAATCAGTTTGAAATGTCAGTCTGCTAATCATAAGAAGGAACATCAGGAAAAGTACTGATGTACAGTACAGCAAAATAGGTTTTTAAATTATTTATTGCCACATAACAATAGTTGGTGGAATTTGCTTTCAGTACAGCAAGAGAACACTGATGAAGCTGACAAATATGTAATTGGGAGAATATTAAGGTCCATTGTACATTTTACAGGGAGCCAGTTCAATGTACACAGGACAGGAAATATATCCTGAAGAAGGGTACTTTTACTTAGTATGCGACCTGCATAATTCTGGACATATTACTGAACAACAGGTGCACCCAAGATTAAAAAACGACTGTTTCCATGATCATTTTAAATTTTATTTTTATCACCATTATCAAAATCCAAAACTACCATAATCTGAACATATCTTTTTCTGTCAAAAAAGTCTAAAAATAAAAAATAAAACACAAACATATCATTATTTCACTGCTTATACACTGCAGTGGTATGGACCTTTTGTACTAATATTTTGAATAATTAATGTATATTTCTACACTAAATGCAGCACAAATATAATATATTCCGTGGTCTTATGCAATCAGGTTTTGGTTGGTGATTTAAAAAAAACTGGTTTACATATTTTTCAATTTAAAGATATAGATATGTTAAAAACACCCACCAAATGTGGACAAGTGCTGAAATTCACCAGTAGCTGGCAAGGTGCCCAACTGCAGTGAGTAGATCCCATAGGTACCTTTAATTTAATGTAATTTGGACAACTACACAGGGAGAAAATGGTGTACAAGAAAGAAACTTGCAAATATGTGTTACATAATTGATTAGTATGCTTACTTGGTCAAGCTCTTCAAGTAAGAATACATAGGATCATTACTCCTGTGACAATGATTATCACCAATGTCTGCAACAAGTCCTTCATCTTAAAAGTCTTTGCTGTTTTTTTGTTTGTTTTAGAGTGAGAAAAGATTTTGATGTGCCTACAAACTCAGTGATTGGAGCCCATGGATACTGCACTCAGGTTAGTATTTTAAAATTTAATCAGGCTCAGAAAACAAAATCATCTTACAATCAAGAGTTATACACATTTACAAAAATATACTGTTACCTAACAATATGATGAGATGTGCAGTGCAATTGAAATTAGTAGTAAGATGAGTTCTTGATATTAAAGGAGAAGTCCATCAGTTATCTGTTTTAGTTGTTTTCTTCATCTTCATTGGCACAGTTTTCTTACAATTCAACTGATAGAATATCCTTTTTTGTTTAATAGCAACTAATGTTGTATATCCCTTCAGTCTTGCACAGTGCCTTCAGTTAAGTACTAGGTGGTAGAATAAAGCTTTACACTTGTTTTATCTGTATACAGAAAGAAAAAAGCATCCTTGGAAATCCATTATTCTATTCTTCAACATCAAGGATTTGTCTTCTGGAAAATTATAAAGGCTATACAGCTACTCCTGTGTCATGAACAGGGTGGCACACTTTCTGCTTCTGTGATGTAACCAGAACTTTTTGTCAGGGTGATTTACTTACCAGGATTTTTAAACAAAGTGTATATCCTCTGTCCAGGAAGCCTAGTCATGTTGGAATGGTGCCTCCACCCAGAGATTGTTGCTATTGTCTTTGTGTTTGTGTGACCAGAGGTCAACATAGTAATAGCAAAATCCATTTATTGTCTGCTCTGGTTTGGACCATCTCTGGGCATCAGTGAACTAAAATGTTGCTGGCATTCAAACCACTTGCTTGCCAATTCACTCACCCCCTAGAGGGATTTAATCCTGTCACTGGTGAGCCAGCCATGCCTTCTCCCATTTTATTTCAGCTTGCGCAGTCAGGCATAAGACATTCTCTGGCACTCCAGATTGGTTCCCATGACATTTTGTCTACTGGCCTTCAACAGGATGAAGAGGATGAAGAGCTGCTACCAGATAGTTTAGGTCTTCAGTTGTCACTAAACATAAAAGCCTTGACCTCTCTAAACAGTGCCTGCCTACTTGGATTGTAGTCAGCCTACTGTGTCACCAAGTTACTAGCATCCTTTTGGGTCGCTGGCACTTTCACTAAGGGTACCACTAAGGTATCCTCTTATTTGTCATGTCTTTATAGTCTGACTGATATTTACCCTCTTCAGATTGAGGATCAAATGATGCAGCCCCAGCCACCTAGGTTCCAGACCAGAGTGATAGGAATAGCTGTAAACATTTCTACTGGATAATGAACACAATTATGATGTAACTGCTCTGGTAGACAACCCTTTTTGTGGTCCCATTTTACAAAAGAAAGGGGATGCTAGGTTTATTATTTATAACCTTGGATATCTTAAATAGAAATATTACTCCTAGAGGTTTAGAGGTCGATGTGCTCTTGTGCAGCACACAATGGAATGGTGAGATGGTCCCTCCACTCCCCTGGCTTCTTTTTAATAAACAACTGGATGAGTTCTTGGGATCTGTTAGCTTCAATTAAATAGGTTAGATGGATGTCCTCTGCTATTTTGTCATCTTTCTTAAGTTCTTATGTTGGGCATTGGGATATAGTGATGGGCACTGAGTATGCATCTTGAGGGTCTTTGTATTACTGATATACTTACCTTCAACATCCAGGTTAAGATGTAACATAACCCATTTGTTATGTTATGCTATTTTTTGCAACTTTTGCATATTTATTGATGCTGAATTTTAAGGACTGCTTATATTTATGTTTTTTTCTTTAACATAAATGTATCAGGAACTTGTAAATCTTATTCTGACTGGAAGAGCAGTATCAAATGTGTTTAATGATGAAATTGAACTGGATTCCGGGAATGGAAACATTACCCTGTTGAAGGGAATCAAAGGACGGAGTGACATTGGATTACTTTCCTTATTTGAACATTACAATGTTTGCAAGGTATGTGAGTATTTTATCATAATTATATCTTTTATATGTGTTTAGCTTTCTGACCTTTTATGATGAGGATTAAATCAGTCAAGATTTTGGGACCTTCTTAAAAGCCTTTTTGAAATATAACTTGTAACTAAACTCAAGAATCTGCATAAAATATTAATTTATTTCAAACTGTTGTCACCTTCTTCAAACTCTGCTGTTCATCCCTCACGGGGTATGGTTTTGTTTACAATGTAATAGTGATCTTGAACATACATTCCAAACTTAACCTTAAATCACTTGTAACTTTAACTAAAATCACTTGTTACTTTAAATTATTATAATTGTTTTTTTTTTGGAATGGTTAGAAATTGATGCACTGTTGTGACTTTTGCCTTGCTCCATCTTTGTTGGAAAGATTAAGAATACGCTTTGCAAGAGACTATAAAGGGCATAAGTAAAATCTTAAAATTGATCAGGCAACTTTGAAAGTTGTGAGGAATAATGCTCAATGTACCAGCAAGTTTTACAGCTAAGATGGGAAGATATTTTGGAATACATTTGACAGAAATATTGTGCAAAAACATACTGTAAATAATGATGCATTTTCCTTTGAGAAAGATTGTGGTGATTTGTGATCTATAAAGTTTCCATAATGTTATCATTCTGTTTGTTCAGTATTCTTTAAATACATTTAAATTGCATGATTCATATTTTGTGTTTGAAAATAAATTTTATGTTTGAATTTTATGGTTTATGTATAAAAATAAATATAATGTTTCCAATTAGTAATTAAAAAGAGATCAGCATACTGTATTTCTATTATGCATAGAGGTTGTCTCATCATTTTATATGGATGTGTAGTATATTTGAGAAAGTTATTTTGGCTTTACATTTGTATTTCTAATCATTATGTACATCATCGGTGATGAGTGAGCTAGGTGACCATACATGCCAAGGCCATGACACTAACTCTGCCATAGTTCAGAATTTGCTCAAAGATGACTCTAGAGAATTTGGAAAAGATTAGAAAAAATAACAAATAGCTGCTTCTGGAACAGGATCACTTGTCCTTATAGATGATGACGGTAACTCAAAAAATACAACTGATATTGTATTGAACTGATATGATGAACTAAAGGGGTTCATCAAGAGAAAGTAAGTGGAATATCTTAGACTGGACAAGTGAGTCTCAAGATTTTAATCCAGTGCACTTTATATTCTTTAGAAAAATGATTTTATCACACCCAAAGAATATTTGAGAAATATAAAATTATCTGCAGCAAATGCTTGAGAAAGCATCTCAAATGATTACACAAAAAGGTTAGTGAGCTCAATGGGTCACAGATTTCATGCAGTTAATGCTTCAAAGAAAAACTGTGTGCCACCAAATCCTGACAAACCTGAAAAATGTATTTAATTTGAATTTGCCACACTATTACAATCAAACTTTGTGTTCAACCAATTGATATCAAAACCATTAGTATTGTCACATGAATGACTGAACTTACCCAAAAATAAAACATTATTTATGTTAATATCATGATTACCAATACATAGTCTTTAATTGTAAAGCAAAAATAACAGTTGTGACTTTACCATCCCACTACTTTTTGAGGGCACTGTTATGCACAGAGTTAAAAATCATATTTGTCAACTTTCATTCCAGGAAATAAAAAGAGTCACATTTATTTGTAGCTGTAAGTATCAATTTAATAAAATCCAACAAAAAGAGTAACATTCTTTGGAAGTGCATTTTAAATTTGCAGAACTACTGTATTCAGAGGCCACCTAAAGTCCCCCGAGTATGAAAGGAGTTAACACTCATTCAGTTAGTAATCTAGTAGTAGCATGCATCTTCATTATTGAGGTCAAAGAATTTTCCGAATACTGCAGGCTGGTAGTCATTGACCTCCACAAAAAGCTGCACTATTGTGTTCATTTTTAAGCAATTTAAGCCTACTGGGATCTATGCCCGGAAGGATGCAAATATATCTTGTCACCAAAAGCTATAAGAAGTGGTTCAGGAGGTAACAATAAAGTCAGTGGCAACAACTGAAGATATCTAATACAAACTGGCATCTTCAGGATACAAGTTGAAAAATACCATTCCATGCCATCTCCGGGAATATGATACTGTATTTATGGCTGGGTTGCAAGAAAAAAAGTCTCTTCTGAGGGTGAACTACAGACGGGTGCAGCTTGGAAATGCCAAACTACAGCTGAATGACAATGTGACCCATGGGAAAATGAAACTAAAATTGAATATGCTCAATCGATATTATGTTTAACATAAAAAAGTTGATGGCCTGCGACCAACTGCTATTCTGTCCAGGTGTAGGTGATTTGGGGTTTTAATTTACTATAAATTAAAATTGTGATTGTACTTGAGATTGCGAGAGTACTTGACACCTTTTTGGAAACAAACATAATACTTTACTGTCTCGCACAACAGATTATAAATATACAATTTATTGATATAAAACTAAAACATGCATAGCAAACAACAAACTTAATTGAATATATTTATTGAGTGATCTGCTGTGACATTACAGGCTGATTCACTCAGAGTTATAAAAATCATAGTTAATAATGTCAGACTATAATGTCTAACACTGTAATGTTATGGTCTAGCTCAAAGGTTCTATCCATCTCATATAATTAATTAACATATATATTCTCAAATACAAATGAATATGCATTTACTGTCATTATCTAAACCTCGAATGTGTTTGGAATAATAGTTCAACTGTTGAGAATTTTAATGTGCCATGATGTTTTTAAAGAGTTAAACTTCCTACTGGTAAGATGGAGCTTGGCGGATTTGTCCACGGTCCGTTGTTGGCAAGCTATTCTGTGCTGAGAGGGTCCTGGTGCAGACAAGAGGAGAGGGAAAAATAGCTTTATCTTGTTTGCTGGGCAGCTCTGTCAAAATTGACATCTTGCTGAACTTTGGTCTTTAAAAATAGTCTGTACACAGTTTAGAAGATGGATGGGAAAAAAAAAGCCTGAAGATCATGTTTGAAAAACATTAATTCCTTCTGTGAAATATGGCAGGCCCATCTTAAAATGAAGGAATCATGAACCAACATGTTACTTGTACCAACCAAGATCTTCCAGCATTCAAAATATTGTATTTGGCCAAAAATGGACATCACGGCATGACAATAATCTAGATCTAGAGCATATGTATACACTACTGTATATAACATATCTAAATGACAAAGAAGTGTTAACTGCATAGAAAAATATTCTTAAATGGTCATCTCAATCTCTAGAACTCAATTCAACTGAACATTCACAATGAAGAATGTTGTTTACAAATGGAAAAGGTCTCAAAGACCTAGAGCAATTCTGCCAGGAGGAAAAATTTCCCTTGAGAAATGCCATAACCAAATAGCAAATAAAGAAAGCAACTTGTTAGTGTTATCTATGACAGATGAGTATTTACTAATTACAGGGTTGTAAATAAATGTGACCCTCATCATTTCTGGACTTAAATTATTTAAATTAAATTATTTATGACAAATAAGACTTTGGTCAATGTTATTAGAATTACAATATATTACATATTTATTAATCCATAACTCTTAATATTATACAGTATGATGTTTTGATTTTGTTTCTATATCATCAGGGGTATCAGTAAATCTGGAAGGTACCACATCTAACTTCTTAAACCTTAAAGCACCTCCAGCATTTGTTTGACATTAAGTTTTTTAGCTTTATCTGTAGGAGGGAAAGTTGTGAACGTCTGCAATGCAGTATAATAAGTCTGGATAAAGCATTGAATAATGAATTTGACACACTATGCAGTGCATGCATGTTGCACTTATATGAAATAAAGGTTATGTTGCTGGAAAGAAAAGTAAAAGGTTTTTACTGGAAAGGGCATTGTTTTTATCATACACCACAGCATAGTTTCACCTCTCTGAAGTTGTTTTGATATAAGACATTCCTGTCAATTCTTTTTTTAGAGTACTTAAATTAATTAATTAGAAACACTCATGTTCATAAAAAATAACTGTACATTATCATTATGAATTCCATTGCTTTTGTCTCCCAAAGCATAGTTAGAATAAAGTGATTACAGACCTTTGTACATTTTGAACACACAGCAGAAAAAACTACAAATGAACTGTGCAGAGTTCAAGTGGACTTTACATCGCAGCCAGACTTACATACAGTATTAGAAAGATAATTTTTAAATCACATCAAAGGTAGCACTGTCATTATTATGTGGTGACACAATTTCCACAGTCTGTTTTCTCTTTTATTCCATGAGTTTAATACTAAATTGTTAATATGCAATGTTTTATATTAATGTAACAACATGTACAAGTAACTTTATAATTTCTCTTCATGCTACAGTATTATTTTTTTATTGGTAGGTTGGCACCTATATGAAGACTCCCAGGTATCCAATATGGGTGATATGCAGTGAAAGTCACTTCAGTGTGCTTTTCTCTACACGCAAGGAGTTAATGAGTGATTGGAGGATGGAGAGGAGATTTGACCTTTACTACTATGACAGCCTAGCAAATCAACAGGAGGAAATACGCCTAACTGTTGGTGTGTGAGAATTGATTTTATTCCAATTTGAGCAAGTAAATTAGGTTTTGAGTTTAAAAAATGACTATTGTCTGCTGAGATCCATAAAAACAAAACATGTTTCAATTTAATGCTTCTCAGTATATTTATTGTATATCTGGAGGTTATTTTAATTTTTCATTTATAATTTTACATTCTAAAAATATACTTTTTGCTAAATTCACCATTTACCAACTGTATAGTCATGTGTTTTCTATGACGTTTTCTCAACAGCTCAGAATAAGTGAACTTGTTTGAGTTGAATCAGTTGTTTTCTATATTTTGTTAAAAACCAAAACTGCAGATTGTAAAAATGGCATGATAAATCTCAGTATTACAGTATATGCAAACAGTCTTACTTTTACTATAAAATGACACTTATACCACTAATTGCACTTTTGATTTTAACCAATATATATAGACATTTTAACTTTAAGATTACGGGAAAATAATTAAAAAAATAATGTATCAAGCTTATTATCTGCCATGCCAAAATATTACTATTGACCAAACATGATAACTATTTGTAAGAATAACTTGTTGATAATAATAAGTTGCTAGAGTTCACTTTTTATGTTAGTGGTTGATTGCTGATGCAGTAATGACAAAGGTATGTACTTTATTAATCCCATGTGGGAAATTCAAGTGCTACAGCAACCAGGCACAATCAACACAGTAAAGTACAAATGTAGTAATATGATACAGTAAATACATTTAAAAAAAAACGAATAAAGAATTACAAACAAAACAGAAACGGCACACACGCACAAATAAAGTATGAATGTACAGAACACAAGAAAGATGTAATACATATATTACAGTATAGAAATTGCACACTCCCAAACATATTGCACAAAGTAGGTAACTATTGCAACTATTGCATAGTTGTAAAAAATAATTTGCCCATTCCACTTCCACGTATTGCACTTCTATAAGCTAGATGTAGACAGAACACCAGTAAAACAGAGGAATCAGGTTTCAGGTGTACAAGTATGGTGTCACAACAGGACAGTGTTGCCCCTGGCCAGACATACCGTGGTCTTATGGCAGTAGGCACAAACCATTTTCTGTAATGCTCCCTGTCACACCGTGCACCCTGTTGCTGAATGTTGCTCTTCATTCCAACAAGCATGTCATAGAGGGTGGGAGACATTGTCCATGATGGATATTAATTTGGACACCATTCTCCTCTCAACCATCACCTCCAGATAAGACCCAATGACAGAACTTGCCTTCTTGATGAGCTTGTTCAGCCGATTAGCATCCCCCCACTCTAATCCCAGAGCGCCAGGACACCACTGCATCTGATCACAGAAACCACAGAAATTTACAGAAAGACCACTTTCAGATTTCTGAAAGTACAGCAAGTCTGAAACCACCTTTGGAGGGACATCAGATTAGCAGTATATCAAACCAAACATCCACATTCAATGTCCAAACAATCCTTATAAGACATATTATCCTTAGAAGACATGAGAACACTACTTATAATATAAAAATGTCAATTGTGCATGCGTGCTTGTGGTTTATATGATGTAAAGCAATAACACAAGTAGATGTATTAAATTTGAATGACTATACTTACTATATGTTTTACTAATATTTTGGAGAATGTTTATATGACTGTAAATAATTTGTAATGCAGTGTACGATCCAAGTGCTAAAATGGATTGTGAGATCTGAGTTTGTTGTACTTTCCCTTTAAATGTACCATGTGTGAGATGTTTTATTGTGCACTTTATTTTTTGCTTTTTTAGGTTTTCATGGTAAACATTAAATGGGATGGTATGAGCCGGTATCTTATTAGGGGAACATCAGTTTCATATTGTTGCTTTAACAAAAATAGATATACCAAATGGTGCAAAACACATTCATTGTGACTCCTAAACACTGCACTCTGAATAATTACATAGCAAATAGCTTAGCATAGGTGCTATGCAATATAATAGTTTTGTTGCTACAAGACCACCAGTGCATTGCAACTATCCTGGTATCAATGCTTTAATAAAATATCATATATACTGTAGCTTAATGACATTGCTAATTTCTTATTGGCCCTAGTGAAACACCTCTTCCAAAAGCCTGTAACGTCTGGCCTAAATGATAGACCATATCACAATAATATCAGTTAAGAAGAATCCAAACTTTCTATTACGCATTTGTTTGGAAGAAGTACAGTAATTGGTGACTCAGATCCATTTACTAATCAGCCATTATGATCCACATTACAAGTACTTCCTTGGATGATAAATAGGGTAGTACAGTCACACAACGATAAAGCACACTTTCCATGCTACTGTAAAATTCCTGTTTGATCTTCACTGAATAGAGACATACCATACAACTTTCTGTTATCTTTTAAGCTTATTCACATTATTTAAATATTTAATTATTGGTTGTTTGAAATAATATTTCTTTTTGAATATTAGACACATCTCAAAACTATGCTCCTGATGTGGAAAATGACCTGATTCCGCCTCTTGAACACTGCATCAGGACAAAGTGAGTTGTAAAAAATACTTTTATACATTACCCAGAAGTATTCAACATAGACTTTTCTGTTAAATAATGCTGTAATTAATATTGTTCTAAACTACTGTATGTGGACAGCATAGAGCTGCAGTGTTTAGCATCGCTGCCTCGCAGTGCTAGGGCCCTGGGTTCAGTTTGTGACCTGGAGCGTGACATGCATGGAATTCGTATGTTCTCCCGTGGCCGTGTAGGTTTCTTCTGGATGGATAGATGGTTCATTAACGTTTCAGTAGTTTGTCCAAATTCTAATGTAAGGCAGAGTAGAAGATAATTTAATTAAAACACATAGTTCTCCGTTTCCAAATGCCTTCCTGAAAAATGCTCTCTAAATTAAAAAGTAATTTCCCATAAGAATACATGCATAAAAAAACAACAACAGATGTATTCATGTAAGATGTTCACATAGTTGTGTAAAAAAACTAAATGCTTGTTGATGTTTAACAATTTATTGAAAAATATGCAGGAAAGACTTAATTGAATATTGATTGGTATAAAGTGTGGAAAATGCAAGGATTTTATATAATATAAACATAAGGAACAGACTAAGATAATACTTTTTACAGATTTATTTAGTTAGCATGAGAATATGGGGCATGAACAATGCCTGGAAGCATGCTGATACAAAGATTGATACAAATCACAGTTTCCTGTGCCTCATCAAAGCAATTCTACTCATCCCTGCACTCAACTGGTGTTTGGAGGGTATTGGTATTGCCTCAAACATTCCATTAAATTTCTTGTTGTTGTCTGTGCTTAACCATGTTAAACAGACAACTTATTTGTCTTAAATGAAAATATACTGTATATTCGTGAAACATTAATCCAAAAACATGCAAATTATATGTTTGGTTTAATTATGAGTATGTAAATCAAGAACTGCCTGTATGCTTTATTGGATAACTTTCTGGGTTGAGGAGAGCAACAACCATTTTTGTAAGAACCTGCAAAAGCAGCAAAAGAGAACCCATAATGCTGATGCAGAATTTTTAAGTTATAAAGACTAAATATGCAGGTAAACAAGTATACAGCTGCAATTTGTAAAGAAAAAAAAGGATATGAAAGGCAAATGGAAGCCTTAGCAGTATTTCCAAGTAAACCAGTGAGAGTGGAGAGTTCAGGAAATGATGCTCTGTGGAGTGTTGTTTTGGGTGAGTTAAAAAAGAGGAGTCAGCGTCTGTTCTGCATCATTTAGATCCCCCAAAAAGCAGCAAAGCAAATTGCAAAATGGAGTTGAGGAATCCAGAAAGGATTCACTTTCACAAAGCCCAGGGTCTGCAAATATTTCTTCCTTAAGCAGGTATCTGGAATATGGGGAAGGTGAACCAGAGTGACAAGTGTGAAGTAGGGGTAGGAGGGAGTTAGAGGCTGATATTACATGATCTTGGAAATTAGCAGGGAAGTGAGGGAGGGGTGGCACCATGCCTGAAGAAGCAAAACTGCACTGCAGACACCAGAGGCAGCGAAGCTTGTGAAAAGAGGAGCCTTATCCAGACAGAACTGCATGTTTGGGCTAGCATTGACTTTCTCTCCTGGGCAGCATTAGGGACGTAATGGAATGTAGAAGATACTGCTGAGGCCTTAGGATAGGTAGAACAGGTGACGGAGAAAAAGAAGATAAGAAATGAAAAGTTAAAAGATGGACTCAGTTAGAAATGTGGAAGACATAAAGGAGAGAAAGGATGGGTTGAGATGCTAGGACAGTGGGGATCCATAGGGTCGTGGCTGCAGTGGAGTAAGCTTTGACCATCTCCTCATCTTTCATTTAAAATTTCATTTAGTGATGTAACTGATTATCTTTTTCTCTTGTTCTAGATGGAAAGGTGCCATGGTTGACTGGAATGAAACTGAACCTATACTTTGATTTCATTGTGCTATAGACATGAAATTCTTCTACGGAAAAAAAATATATGACCTAATTTATAACCATAAAGTATCAGTGAAGCTGAAAAACACAACTTGTAAAGCACCCATACAAATATTTAAGATAAAGACATGGATTCTGTTTTATTGCCTCAACCCTGTATACCTGTGCCTTTAATTTTGATTTGGAAAACAATATGAAATATGTAAAGAATGTACCTTAGGATTTATTTGAATATATGAAGTTGAGTAACTAATGAGGCTCACACCAGACTGTAATCATGTAGTTTATTCCATTTATACATTTGTTTTATTGTGTATTTAGGATTCATGTCTTGCATGTGAATGTATGGCTTCTTGTGCTTTAACTCAACGATTAATGATAAGAATAGAAATACATGTTTTGCCTTCGAAAAACTGCATTTCAGTTTAAATTTTATTTATACAAATATTTTCATAAATAAAATGTTTAAGAAAGCTTTCTTTAGCTTGGTATTTACTTTTTTTGTTGGATAGAGACAAGTATTTACGTATGTTTAGCGGGAAGTAGTTCACTGTTTCTTTAAGTCAATCACATGAAAGTTTGTTAATTTCATTGACTCATGCCCTGCTAAAGTGATAATGTTGTAAGATGCTTAATTTGCTTAAAATCTTTATTATTTTTATACAATGCATGTACTGTAGAGTTTACCTGTATGCACAGTTAATAAAATGAGAATCTGGCGCTACAGTGCTTAAACCGTTTTTTCCATACTGGTTAGGTCACACTAAAAAAGTTATTGACTGGTTCCTCATACAGATGGAAAAGCTAGTAAATTCTGGAAATGGTGAGAAAACAAAGGAAATACAGGAGACTTTAATTAGGGAGTCAATATTGAAGAATGCATGAAGCCCCTGAAACTGAAAATGATGATTATCTATATTGATATCAATAACAGTATATTAATAGAAATAAACCAGGTATCAAATAGGAGGAGGCCATTACGAACATCCAGATTATTCACTTCCTTTTAACTCAGTGATCTTTTGAGTGGATTATTAACTCATTTAGTTTTTATCAGCTGGTTGATCTGAGGATCGAACCTACAGTAGCCATTACTCAGGAGTCAATTTATACACTGTAGCTTCTTTCAAACATCAGCTTCAGGAACATAGCTGAGTAGCCAGATCCTACTCCTACATCCCTTTGTGTGAAGAAGTGTCCTGTTGTGTTTAAAATGCACATGTCTATAATTTTCACTTTTGTCTGCTGGCTAATTTTTTATTGTTATTTCTAAAGACGTCTATTAGGTTGATGTTGTGATCAATGATATCATGATACATGATTGAGGTTCCTTGTTGTCTTATCTGTCCAAGGCTTAAGAGGTTCAGACATTTTAGTTTGTCAGTGTTGGACAGACACTTAGTTCTTGTTCTTTTCTGGACTGATTCCAAAGCAGCAATGTGGTAGTCCCTGGTCTTTCCTTAGAGTTTGGCTTTAATTTTTAAAGAACTGTTCAAAGAAAAAAACTGTTCAACTAAAAAAGTAGGCTGTTTTTTTTAAGTTTACAGTGTTCACTTATTAACACATCTAATTTAATCTCATTCTCCTGGCAATTTCAAATTGGTGTATTATTTCAATAGATACTTCAAGTATCAATTTTTAATAAACTTAAGTAGAACTCCATTTCATGGCAAAATAGAACCTTTCCCTGCTTATCTGTATACAACATAAACATACTGAAAACATATTGGCCTTGAAATAAAAAAACAGGCTTTGCTATGGCTTCAAAACTGAAACATGATTTAAAGTAGTTTTAATACTACTAATAGTGATAATACCAATAAGATAGTCAAATAAATGTATGTTTAAGTACAGTGACTTATATTAATTAAAAGACCAAGACAAATGTCTATCAATGAGCCTTGGAAGAAAATAAGCACAGTAGTCTCAATGTAAACTCTCTACTAGAAGTATTTCCCTTCTCGTGCAGATAAGTGTGGTGGAGAGGAAGTTCTATAAATGTATTTGCTAAAATAAACAAGTCACAGTATGGTGCAGTAATTAAGATCAGTAAGTGGAAGAAAGATAAGGAGCAAATTACTTCATTTTGATTATGTATGTATCCTGGTTCAGACAGAAACACAAACACAACACAATGATTTGTAAACAAACCAATAACACAATTTACTGTAGCTCCATAAATTACAAGATGTTCTTCTGGTTATGAGGAAATGGAAAAATATTGATAAAAGTACCAAATATTAAATTTTCAAATATTGAATATCATTTGAAAAGTTCAATACAAAGTGCATTGATGCTCATTTCAATATCAAACATTAATGAATATGAGTAATGAGATAATATGCAAAATTAACTTGCCTGTAAAATGAAAACGGTTAAAACAGATAAATAGATCATTGTTTAGAAGCTTTACAAAAACTCTCAATTTGGATTCGTTTTTTTCAGTACTTATTCTAGTAATAGTACAACCATTTGCATGGTAACCACGTCCCCTAAATGTCAGAATAAAATGTGTTACGCTCCTGATTGGATTTTTGTTCCTTGCCAGCAGGGAGTCTTGGAAACGGTCTTCATTGAATAAACACTTACTCACATCAATGAAATTGCTGCAATAATAAATATTCAGCTTTTACAAATACATTTCTACATTTTCAATGAAGAATGTCTAAAACGTTTGTCCATAAAATGTTGCATGTGTGCTTCATACTAATACAGTACTATCAAAATTTAAAAGCCACATTTTTTATCTTTATGCTATATTTGGGCAGCTGCATTGTTAAAATATAATACAATATTAGTGCAACTGAAATATTGCTTTGTCAGTGCAGACATTTAATCAAGAGCAGCATTTGTGCTGCATTTAGAGACATAGTTGGCCAAATCTGTTCACTTTAAAAGCTGCTGTAAAACCAGATTAATTCCTGTCAATTTCACAAAGCAGTAAAATATTATTATTTTCTTTAAAAATAAGCATCAATTCTTATTTTTACAACACTGATATTAACACCAAAAGTGTAGAATATATTGATAAGTGAAATCCAAACACAATTCCTTTGCTGATTGAGTTTTAACAGACCTTACTACACAATAATACTTGATAACAAGGAATCCTAAAGAAGATCATAAAGAATCCTAAGATATAAATGAAAGAGGATAATTGTGGTGTTTCACTCTTAAATATGAGTGACTTAAATAGTTTATTTTAACATTTCTATCTTTCTAACATTTATTTATTAGAAAGTTTAAAGACAAGAAATGGGAATAAATTGTAATATAATTTATTTAAAAAACATTACTTTTTGACCTAAGGTTATGATCATACTTTCTGTTGCAATTTTTGTAAGAAGAAATTAATATGCAACTCCTATAATTTTTCCTTAATAATCTTACTTATCCTAATGTAAGTAGTTTTAGATCTATAATCTACTGTATATAAAAAGCCTAAACAAGACTTGATTCTAGAAGCAAATCTACAAGCTATCTTTAACACCTGTTTTTTTCTTCGTTTTACAACTACACATTCAAAAATCAGGAATAATACATTCCAGGATGTGTTTTGTGTGAGAATATAAAAACATCTTGGGTGTACCTTGCAACTCAAAAGGCAACCAAGGATTGCCAATATATGACACTATCAATCAATTTAATATCATTTTAGAAATGTATATTTTTCAATCATGAGTTATCACACATACACCTATTGATAAATTATTTGTCTTATCACATTACTGGCTGCCACAGCACACAAATAGAAATGGATGAATAGCAATTTGTTTTTAGTTGCTATGCACTGTTGAGGTGGAATTTCCTTCACAGGGGAGATCTGTGACTTGGACTCTTTCCCTAAATTCAAATCAGGACTTCAGGCTTTTATTTAATTCATTGATAGCAACTCAAAAGTATATGGGAGAATGGGAGCTGATACCTAAAATGATTTAAAAAATATACGGCACAGGTAGATTGTGAATGATGTTCAGATGTTTTCAGTTGAATTATTAACATAATAAATTCATATTATGGTTTTTAAAGTGGTAGGTGAAGAGGATGGGGTTGACAGCAGTATGTTTCATATTGACATTGCTTTGAATGGAATATTGACCAAACTCTAAATTGATCATTATATAGTCATTGATACAGGTACACTGGCAATCTTAAAAAAAACTTTACCTAATATTTTTTAAGAAAACAAATTCCCTATTAAGATTTCATTTATTTTCTTATTATTGGTCAAGATAACAGACTTTTAATATTTTTCAGGGATGCGGGATATCCTGGCACAAGGCAAGGTGTACCCTGGACAGGATGCCAGTCCATCGAAGGGCAGTCACACAAACATTCAAATACTTACACTGCGGGCCAGTTTTCCCGGAGGCCAATTAACCTATCAGTATGTTTCTGAACATGAAGATAGCACGCCAGATAGTTCTGTAATTGAACCCATTTCCCCAGTAGTGCAAGGCAGCTATGCTAACCACTGCACCACTGTACTTCTAACATTTACTTTTGGTAAACAAAAATGTTTATATTGTATTCAAATAATAACAGCTTCTGATGAGATCAAACACTGTATACAAACACTAACAGATGTGCATAAAGGGCACCCTTTCAAAACTCCTTCTCCAATCACCAGCCCATGCAGGATTTATAGATCTTACCGGGTTGTAAAAGTGAAGATTAGGATGCCTTTTGACAAAAGCAGAAGTCAAACTCCTGCCAGTAGTGACAGCACCTTTTTTTATTTAACAGGACTCCCTTTGCTAACCCCACACAGTAAATTAACTCCACATAAATGATACCAACATAGACAAGGAAACAATTAGGCCAGTGGAGGGAATATGGAGTGCCACAATGCACTGCCTTTTTAGCAGCAAACAAGCCCCTGTAAATAGATCTGTGTCTGCATTTCATCCAGTCCATATTCCAGATGGTAGCCAATCCTAAGGGTTTACGTGAAGCCTGCAATAAAAACTGAGGAGGCCGATCCCTTTTGTTTCCTGAGATCCAACAGTTTATGCATTGGGTGCCAAGGCAAATTTGTCCCTAGTGAATGCCATTGTAGAATGGAGATGTAAGTAAAAAAAGAAAGAAGAGATACGAAGCTTGGATTCCAAGTCTTAGAACAAGCAAAGACTGTCATCATTAAAAATATCTCCTTGAATGTGATGCCACTGTCACTAAATTATGGACAAGAAAAAGAAAGACAATATGTTTGTGATTAAAGAGAAAATGAGAATGTATTTGTCATGTTTTATAATTTTGTTCTACTAAAAGTCAAATCATAAGTAGTTGCGTGATTATGGAACCAACAGTAAATGTACACTTGATGTGGGAGTTATCAGCATTAAAAGAAGTAGTAAATAAAGTCAAACCAAAGGTATAAAAATAAACTTGATACTTTCACAAACCAAAAGCTTTTTTGCTTTTAATAGCGTAAAATGTACACAAGTATAAGTATAAGTTGCTTTTATTTTCATATTTTGATAAAGCAATTTATCATGATAGACTAATGTTGGAGAAGGAGGACTCATAGAGTTAAAGATATTAAAGAAATGAATCCCATTATTTTTTATTGTACAGACAAAGGCTTGAAGAAAATTAGGAAAACATGTCTATCTATTGACGTCAGCATCCACCTGATTAAAAATGTTATTAAAGTTGTTTACAGTACTGGCATATCAAGATATATAAGTATCAAGATATTGAAAGCTGATGATCAGAGGCACA